ACTAGGACTAGAGGTCCCATTTGACCCAGCTATTCCCCTGCTGGGTATCTTCCCAAAAGAATTAAAAGAATCATACCACAGCGATATATGTGCACCCATGTTTATAGCAACACAGTTTGTAATAGTGAATGCTTGGAAACAGCCCAAGTGCCCATCAACTGGAAACTGGATAAAGAAGATGTGGTTTTTTTATAAAATGGAGTACCACTCAGCCATAAAGACAAACTAGAAACATTTATAGCTAAATAGATGCACATTGAGGCCATACTCTTAAGTGAAATAAATAGAATACACATGTGTAAATACCAAATAGTTTCTCTAGTGTGAAAAACTAAAAGTGTAAATAGGGATCAAAATGTGTAATAGACAATGTGAAATAGGAAGAAAAGGTCTAAAGGAGTAATGGAAGTGGGAGGGGTAGCGGAAAGGAAAGAAGGGAAAAGAAAAAATATGAGAAAAATAAAAAAATGGAGACAAAATATTTGTAAATAGGAAAGGGTAGAGGGGGTGAAGGGAGGGCAGGGAAATAGGGAAAAAATAAGAACCAAGATACACCATGCAAAGGTACAAGATCCCAATGATGAATGTAACTGCGTTGTACACCAAAAATGTACCAATAAACTTAACGGGGGAAAAAAAAAAACCAATGTTTAAACCTTAAAAAAAAGAAAATGAAATAAACGTTTGCAATTCTTTCTCTCCTTTTTTGGGGGGGGGGGTGTGTGTGCTGGGGATTGAACTCGGGTCCTTGAGCTTGCAAGGCAGGCTGCTGAACCACTGAGCTAAATCCCAGACCCCTACGTTTGCAATTCTTAAAAAAAAAAAAAAAAAAAAGACGTTTATGGAGACACGGCCCCATCTTAGGTCATGGGCATCTGTAATACCATCCCCTCCTTTTACTAATGGAGAAACTGAGGCCTGAAAGTTGGGCAGACTTGGCTAAGGGCCCAGAACCGGAAAGCTGGGGCCTAAACCTGCAGGCTTCTTTCTCTAAGTGCCCACCATAAGCAGGTATGGGCTGATGTGGCCCAGGAGACCCAGGCCTGCCACTTGGAGGGCCACAGCTCCTTCCGGTGCCAGGGCCTTGGTGAGGACATAGCTTGACTATCACTCCTGTACCCACCCTGTGCTCTTGCAAAAACACAGAGGAAACCCACACTGCCCGTCCACTTTCCCTGCTCAGGTGACCACACTCACCCCGTGCTTCTGGATGGCCACGTTGGTGAGGTGCACAAACATGTTGTCCAGCTCGCTGGTGCTCGGCGTGTACTTCACCGTGCAGAACCGGCAAAACCCAAGCTTATACCTAGGCGGGGGTCCAGACTGAGTAAAGCTCTGAGAAGATACAGAAGAAACCACAGCACTTCCCCCTCTAAAAAGAGCTGTGCTCTTGTTGGTCAGATTTACACTGGATCCAGGCTAACTGCTGGGACCTCCACACTCTGCCCTGTGCCACGCGGTGCTGTCCGCACATGGCTGCATTAAATCACGAAACCTCACGATGGCGCTAAGGAGCACCTTGCCGAACGGAAGCAGAGCCCCCGGACGCTTACATGTAACAGCGCAGCGGACGGTAGGTGGACACCAGCACGTACAGGCGCAGGTCAAACTTCCTCCCGCCGATGAGCAGTGGGTTGTTGATATAGAGCGAGATCACGTAGGCTTCTTTCGTAGATTGCGACACAAACCTGCCCATGCCAGAGAGAGTCACAATTAGATGGTAGAAGGCACGAAATCAAAGGGACAACCCACGGACCAAAGAACTGACAAGCTGGATTTTGTTGAAATTAGAAATTTCTGCTCTGCAAAAACACTGTTAAGAGAAAAGAAAGAGAAGCCACATATGGGGAGGAAATATTCGCAAGAGGCAAATCTGATAAAGGGCTCTTATTCCAAACAGACAAAGACCTCTTAAAACTGGACAGTTACCCAGGTGCGGTGGTGCAGACCTGTAATCCCAGCACTCTAGAAGGCTGAGGCAGGAGGATCACAAGTTTGGGCCCAGCTTGGGAAGGTTTGAGTCCAGCTTAATGAGACCCTGTCTCAAAATAAAAAATAAAAAGGGGTAGGGTGTAGCTCAGTCCAAAGGTCCTGGGTTCAACTCCTGGTACCAAAAATCAAATTTAAAAAGCCAACAAAAACAACCCAACAACTTAATTCAGAACTGAGCCAAGACCTTAACAGAACCTCAGCAAAGAAAACAGACAGATGTCAAAGGAGCAATGTGTCACGAGGAAACACGGATTAAACCACATGGTCACTTCTGCACACCTAGGAGAACTATCCAAGTCCAGAATGCTGACTACACTGAGCACCAGCAAGGATGGGCAGCGATGGGATGTTCACAGGTGGTCACAAGACTGCAACACTGCAGCCACTGTGTAGGAGAGACTGGAACTTTCTAAGGAAACCAAACTATTCCTTGGTATTCACAAAGGGGTTAAGAACTTAGGTCTACACAAAACCCTGCACGCGATGTGTACAGCAGCTTTATTTGTAATTGTCCACACTTACAAGCAACCAAGATGTCCTTCAGTAGGTGAGCGCATAAATGGGGCTCATCCAGCCGATGGAATATTAGCAATAAAAAGAAAGACACCTAAGATCAAAAAAAAAAAAAAAAAGGAAGCCGGACATGATGGCCCATGCCTGTAATCCCAGAACTCTGGGAGGCTGAGGCAGGAGGATCAAAAGTTCAAACCCAGCCTGGATAACATGGCAACTTAGCGAGATTATGTCTTAAATTTTAAAGTTTTTATTTTTTTGGTACTGGGGATCGAACTCAGGTCTTTTCGTTTTCGAGGCAGGCAGCAGAACCACTGAGCTAAATCCCTGGCCCAAATTTTAAGGTTTTTAAAAGGGGTTGGGTATGTAGCTCAAAAAAGAAGATCCTAAAACGGAAAATATGTTCAAACCAATAAGTGCCAGGGTGAGATTCAAACCCAGGAGCCCAGGGCCCCAAGTCCCAGGCAGCATGAGCCTTGCCACCCTGACTACTGTGCCTGAGCCTGCCTGTGTTCACAGCTGCCCCCGAGACCCCACTGGTGATTGTCTAGGACACAGAATACTGCTAGGATGACACGGGACAGACAGTGCACACCTGCAGAAGCAGGCGAGAGCCACCCAGCTCATAGCCAGGAGACTGCAGGATGGCAGGCAGCTGCCATCCAGAGCTGCCGAACTTACGAGGACGTCTTGCTGTCCCGGGACCACTTCTTGATCTGCGAGAGCTTGTTGATGAGGAAGATGCCCTTGCCCTGGGCTTTGCCGCACGGCTTCATGATCCAGGTGCTGGACGGGCTCTTCCGGAACTCCTCCACAAACAGGTTGTAGTCCGCGGGCAGCATGTAGGTGACTGGGACAAAGTCTGACAAGTAGAGACCCCGTGCTGGCCAGGAGCCAGACCAGCAGAGGCCAAGAATAGAAAGAGAGCGACACTGCCCTTCAGGGTTTGTTGTCATCCCCTTGGCCCCAACTCTGCACTGAACATGACAAGGACTTGCGCCGCTTGATTCCCACACACGCAGACAAGTGACCTGTCGAGCCCTATGTGCAAAACTCAGCAAATGCATGCTTTAGTCCTCACTGCAAGCTTCGAGCCAGGCAGTATCACTCCCAGCTAGCAGAACAGGAACTGAGGCAGACAGGCTGCTTATATAATTCTGCCCCACGCCACCCCACCTATCTGGAGACCCCCAATGGAAACAGGTGCCCCACAGGCCCCACCAACTGGTGCCCCGAAAAGCCAGTGACCACCCACTGCCTGGGCACCTGCTGACCCCAGGCCTGAAGCCGGCGAAGGGACAAACCTAGATAGAGGTATTTTCCGTTCTCATCCTTCTCTGCCAGTGGACTCCCTTCTTTCTCCAGCTCCTTTCGGTATCTTTTAATGTTCTTTACCATCAGGTCCTTCCGGGTCAGCTCATAGTGGTTGGGGAAATGGTTGACAATTTGATCATCCGAGAGCCGATACCCGGTTTCAACGCTGAACACGTTCCGGATGGTCTGCACACTCATCCTGCAGCGGAAACCTGAGTCTGAGTCCTCACTGCAGCCCAGCACTCCTCGGGGTCCTGACCTGTCACCCCCACACCCCCAGCTGAGCCAGGGGCTGCCAGCCAAAGTGCCATAGACTGTGGGTTCAGGGATCGAGGTGACCAGGACTGGAGGTGTTCGGATTCTGTGTCCTGACACTGCCAGGCTCTGGCCCAAAACCACTTCTCTAAGTGCTCCCTGATTCATGTTACATTGAGTACTGCAAACAGGGTTTACAGATCCCCCATTTCCACAATGTTTGCACTCAAATTCAGGGAGGCAGAGGACACCTTAAAACAGAAGTCACAGTGGGGTGCCTGAGCCAGGGCCAAAACACTGCTCTTCTTTTCTTGGCTGGATTGATTTCTATTGTTTTTGTCAGTCATCCAACTAGCGCCCTCCAGGTGGGCAAACAGCGCATGCACACACAGAAACTAACCAGCTGCAATGTTCTGTCCCCGGGGCTACCACCCCTGCCAGCCCTGTCCTCAGGAACACAAGAGACAGCAGTGCTTGGAAGGAAGCTCTGCAAAAGCACAAGATCTGGCTTCTTTACTCACCAGTAAAAGTTCCAGTCCTCACTCTCTGTCACTTGAACCCATCCTCTCTTCTCGAAGTTGTTGATCAGCACCGACTTCTCGATGTCAGTGACCCACTTCACCTTCCCTGCCATGACCCTGGAAGAGAGAAGTCATGAAAAGTCTGAAACTCCAACTTCCCCAGACCAAAGGCCTCCTCAACACCTGCAAAGCTGGGCATGCAGGCCATGCCTGTGATCCCAGCATCTGGAAGGCTGAGGCAGGATGATCAAAAGTTCAAGCCCAGACAGGGCAACTTAATGATTTAGTAGGAACCTGTCTCAAAACAAAAAGGGTTGGGGATGTAGCTCAGGGCAGAAGCTCTTGTTCCACCCCACAGAGTCTGACTACTAGACCAGCACTGTAGGAAGACTCCTCCACCAGCTCGGCGATACCTGTGCCATCACTGCAGGCTGAAACTCACATTAAGGAACCTCACACTAAGGGGGACCCATACTAGCCACTGCCTCGCCCCAGGGCAGTAGCAGAAGGAAGGGAGAACAGTGATCCCAGAGAATAAGGGTAGCATTGTGGACAAGACAGCCTGGCGACACGCAGGACACATGGTCCCTGTGCCACTGGCCTTAATTTTCATTTTAAATGGATTTAGAAACTCTGGGAAGCCATGCATGGTGGTGTACGCCTGTAGTCCCAGCACTTGGGAGGCTGATCCAGGAGAATTGCTGCAAGTTTTAGATTCCTGGGGGCCAAAGTGGGTCATGGGGCGCTGTACCCTCAGTGCTGTTCAAAGGTGGGGCCAAGCTGGAGGTGGCACGAGAGCAGCCTTCGGAGGGTGTCTCTTACTGTCGCTCTCCCCCTGCTCTGCTTCCTGCCACCATGAACTGAGCATCTTCCGCCAGGCTCTCCTGCCGTGCTGCTCCTGTCCTGGAGGCAGCCCACCATGGATGGATGCTTTGAAGCCATGAGCCAAGTTAGCCTCTCCCCCTGAGCTGTGCATGTCAGGTATTTTGTCCCAGCTACGGGAAGCTGACTGGTACACTCCCCATCCGGACAAGGTGCTGGGGCAAATATCCTCATCCTCCTTTTACTCATCTAGAAGGCGAGCCCAGGCAGAGCAGTGCTTCTGCCAGAAGTGGGGCGCCCCTCCAGCACCCCCTCCACCCCACACACAGTCACTGGCAGAGCATACAGGCTGCACTCACCATAGGTCCTCTTGGAGCCACTGGGCTGCCCACGTCTCCTTCGGCTCCACTGATGCTGGCTCCAGGTCTCACCTGACACAGAGGGAACAGGGATGAGTGGCACAGCCATGGCACTCGGGTAGCACAGGACCAGGAAGCACCTGACAGTGTCACAGATGTGGCTGGAACACTGAGGGGCAGCACCACTGATGGGTGGGCACAGAAGCCACTTTTTCATCTTCCCTTGCTGCAATACAGGTCCCCCTCCGGCCAGCACCGGGGGGGCCACCCAGGGCCTCACTCACCTGTGCCAGGCACGTGAGCTGCCTCTGCGCCCCACCTGGCTGAGTGAGGGTTCTGAGCGACCTTACTCCCGGGCTCTAGCAGGCCCCAGCCCTCATGTGTTCTCTAGTAGGTGCACTGTATGCCACGCAATGCCGATTTCTGGGGGGCAGAGTGGGGCTCTGCTATGGTTTCTTCTTCAAAAATTTTTTTTATTAATTTAAGTCCTTACTCTGTTCTGGTCCATTGGTTGATATGTCTATCCTTATACCAATAACACACTGTCAACATTCATTTCTTCAAAAATTCATTTTCTGCTATGGTTTCAATGTGGTCCCCAAAAGCCTTTGTGTTGTTCTATTTTTTTGTTTTGTACCGGGGATCAAACTTGGGTCCTTGTGCTTGCAAGCCAGGCAATGGAACCACGGAGCTAAATCCCTAGCCCTGAGCCTTTGTGTTGGAATTGCCATCCCCAAATCCACAAGTCATGGCATTTGAAGGTGGCGTCTCTGGGAGGGGATGAGGATTAGATGAGGTCATGAGGGTGAGGTCTCCATAATGCACCGGTGGCTTTATAAGAGGAGGAAGAAGCAGGGTGCGCATACACCTATAATCCCAGCACTTTGGAAGCTGAGGCAGGAGGATTGTTGAGAATTCAAATCCAGCCTGAGCTACATATTGAGTTCAAGACCAGCCTAAACTACATAGTGAGACCCTGTCTCAAAATAAAAACAAACCCCAAATTTAAAAAAACCAAAACTGAAGAGGAAGAAAACCCAGAGCTGGCTCTGTTACCCATGTTAGACAGGTTGGCTCCATGAGAAAAGGGGCTTTGTTTTGCCTTCCTCCAGCTGAATCCCAGGCACCCAGAGCCTTGGCTGGCAATGGCAGGTGGTCAATAAATATTTGATGACTTTTAAAAAATAAATAAATGAATTCTCCTGGCACAGGATCCAACAAGTACTATTGTGACAACCGATGAAGTAGGTGAGGTGCAGCCCTCCAGGGTAAAAACCCCCCATGGGGGGCTAAGGGTGAGCTCCATGGCAGAGCACATGCCCAGCACACAAAAGGTCTTGGGTTTCAGCCCCAGTAAGGCAAAAAAAAAATTTCAAAAGAAAGAACTGGGCCAGGGATTTAGCTCAGTGGTTCCGCTGTCTGCCTCGAAAGCGCAAGGACCCGAATTCAATCCGCAGTACAAAAAAAAAAGAAAGAAAGAATCACCTGGACAGACTCACACAGCTTGTTGACGAGCTCGAAGTATCAGGAACTCAGGCCTTCAGCCCCAGGGGGGCCCTCACCTTCTACAGTAATTACTGTCCTCAGACAGTCCTGCCACACTTTTGAGAGGCAGCAAGTGGGCAAAGAGAATATACATGTACACTCCCGAGACTCATTTCCCCTTCTAGGTCTGGCCATCAGCCCTCTCCACCCCCATCCCTGCCATCCTAGACATTTAGATTGCCACATTTGTCCCCTGGCACTGGGGATTGAACCCCGAGCTTTCACACTGTTACATCCCCAGCCCTTTAAAAATTTTTTAAATTTTATCTTAAGACAGGGTCTTAATAAGTTACTAAGTTGCCCAGGCTGGGTTTGAACTTGCCATCCTCCTGCCTCAGCCTCCCAGGGTGCTGGGATGACAGGTGTACACTACCACGCCTGACTGATCACTACCACTTTCAATGAACTCCCAACTAGGCCAGAATTCTCTGACTTCTGGATTTTTCCCAAATAGCTTTCTTTGAAAGGGAGAAAAAACATCGCTTGAGGCCTTTTGGGGAAGATCAAGAGAAAGGGAGAAAAAAGCCATCTCTAAGAAAACAGCAAATAACAGTGTATAGGATGGCTTCACATGGGTGGGGCGCATTCGGTCACAGCCCCTCTGGGCGACAGTGCCGTGCTGCACAGTGATTGTCTGCCAGTGTTTGTAATTCTTGAGGGCAGAGCAGGGACCCCAAGCCAGCCCTGCAATGTGCTCACCAAGTGTTTCCTGAACAAAGAACCTGCTTTGCGAATTTCAAACCAGCTCACAATGCTAAGAAACTTTCGCTTTAGGATTTGTCCCTATACTGGTCCGGCTCCTCTGCAGTGCATGACCAATCCCGCCCGCCCCTAGTCGAGTCACCAAGAGAAAAGCGGACAGGGAGGCAACGCCAGGCTCCTGTCTCCTGTCTCCTACCCTGAGTCCTCTCCACAGGTACAGCGCCAACAGAAACAACAGAGGCTGCAAACGAACAGGGAAGTCTAATAACAATGAATGTCGGGCAGCCAATAATAACGATGCAATTACAATAATCGGACGCCACAAGTTGAGTCCCAGGAACTCATAGTAGAAAAGAGATACAGTAGCCAACGCAGGTACTGTGGAGAAGGCTGATCCAGAGAGCAGCATATAAATAGCACCGGTGGCGGCCGCGCAGCCTAAGCGCCCACACCGGCTCGCGCAAGCGCACTCACCCGCAGGCGCTCGGCCACACCCTCAGCGCCCGGGAGGCGGCCCCAGGGACTGGGCCTCACCTGTGGACTCCTGGGGAGGCCGTCCCACCCCGCGCCCCGCGCCTCGCGCCCGGGGCCCAGCCCCGCCTCCAGGCCCCACTCAGGTGCTCGTGGGAGGACCCCACCCACAGCCCGGCCGACCGACCAGTCGCTCACGCTCAACTTCCGGGGCGGTGCCCTGGCAACCGTGGATGCTACGGTCAGCGCCACGACTACTTCCGGTGTCAGGCTTTCCGGGCTTTTCTCTATACCCGGGTCCCTGTAGCTGGCTGCCGAGGGGTTTAGGTCTCAAGAAATGCCAGGTCGTCTATCCTCACAACCTTCAGGACCCAGAAATGAGACAGCAGGGTCTAGGGCGTGGGACTGAGCCTAAAAATAGGAAATAGAGCGAGATAATGATTAGATCCCGGGGTTCAGTCCTCTGTTTACCATCACTATCACTCGACTTCCCCATTTGGAAAATTGGGTCTGTAATCGACCTAACTCTACGTTATTGCAGGATAACAGGAATGTGCCACTTAACATGTGCCAATCAGTAGGTGGCCCACTCAAAGATCACCTCCTTGGTACAGCATTCTTCAAAATAACTATTTTTAAAATCCCTTCTGTTTAGGAAAAGGCAGCCTCGCTCAAAGAGAAACCTAAAACCAAGACTACTTGGATCTGAATCTCAGTTCCCAAAACCGACTGTGTCTTTAAGCAGGTTACAGTACTTCCCTGAGCCTCAGTTTCCTTTGTCTATAAATTGGGGAAAACAACATCTATACTGAAGGGTTGTTGGAAGAACTAAATAAAGCAAAAGATAAAAACGTAATGTGCTTGCCATAGCATATCATACGTAGCTTCTCAAACACTTGTTGAATTGGCTCATAATAACACGTATGGGGCCGGAGATGTAGCTCAGCTGTACCACGCCTGCCTGGAAAGCGCAAGGTCCTGAGTTTGATTCCTGGTACCAGAAAAAAAAAAAAATGCAGGTATCCCAGACCTCTCTCAGCTATAAAAGGGCACTTCAGAGGCAGCATGAGAGAGGAGAGCCCACAGAGGGCATATACCTGCTTTGTACCTTCTGGATGCAAATACCGGCCTCTTAGTTACAATTTCTTCACTAGGAAGTGAGAATAATAACCTCATTTCTCGGGAATACTGAGATGATTTTAAATCCCCTGTACATAGCACCTAGGAAGGTGCTTAACATGTTTCACCAGTTCCTTTTCCCCAAGCAGCATATGTAGCCATCTCAAAGACTATCATCAGAGCCACAATACCAGGAAGCACTGATACAGACAGCAAGAAAAGAATAACAGGGACACTAAATGCATAGGAAATATTCTGGCCTATGTGGAGAATTAGCTGGGAACTAGAGAGCTCCAAGAGGAAAAGACAGGAAACAAGCTGGGTCTGATGCCCAAGCGTGTAATCCCAGCATTCTGGGAGGCTGAGGGAGGAAGACAGCAAGTTCTAGCCTGTCCTGGACAACTTAGTGATTTAGGAGACCTTGTCTCAAGAAACGAAACAAAACAAACCCCAGGAGGGGTGGTTAAAAAATAGGAGACTACCTCTCAGAGCTAATCTAATCATGTGAATTTTGTTCTTGTTTTGGGGGTTTTAACTCAGGGGCGCTCTGCCATTGAGCTACATTCCCAGCCTTTTTTTTTTTTTTTTTTTTTTTTTTGATACAAGGTCTCCCTAAATTGTCCAGACAGGATTCAAATTTTCAGTCCTCTTGCTTCAGCCTCCCGGAGTGCTAGGATTTCAGGCATGTGCCGTTGCACCTGACGTGTGAATCTAATTTTCTTTTTTTACTTTTTGAGGCAGGGTCTCACTATGTAGTCCAGGCTGACCTTAAATTCACTATGTAGCTCAGGGTGGCCTTGAACTTGCAGTGATCTTCCTGCCTCAGCCTCCTAAGTGTTGGGGTTAAAATTCATGGACTACTACATCCAGTTTATTTTTTAAAAACTTAAAAAAAAGTCTTGAAGTCTGCCAAGGCCCTGGGTTTCACTCCTAGCACTGAAGATAGAAAGAAAAAGATCCTTAAATGTTTCTCATTGCCATGTGGGTAAAATCCAGGTTCCTCAGTGTGTTTTCAGTCTTAGCATTAACTTTTATCCTGTACTATGTATTGGCTTGCTTCCCTAGAACAGTGGTCCTAGAATATTGGCAGCGAACCTACGGCAGGTGTGCTGTAGCAGGCTGTTTGTATAATTGAAAGCTCCAAAAGGTACTAAGTTCAAGGGTAAATTGAAAATATCAGTATCACTACATGATATATGACAAAGCAATAATGTCAATAATATAAAGCTGGGAATGATGGTGCTCACCTATTCTCCCAGCACTCAGGAGGCTGAGGCAGGAGGATTTTGTGAGCCTAGGAGTTTGAGACCAGCCTAGGAGACTTAGAGAAAACTGTCTCAAAATTAAAGCCAGGTAAAACACATACACACAGTATGCAAAGAAGCTTCACAAATCAGTAGGAAAAAAATACTTTACAAAAACAGGCTTAAATTGGGCATGGTGGCGCATTCCTGTAGTCCCAGCACTCAGGAGGTTGAAGCAGGAGGATTACTGTGAGTTCAAGGCCAGCCTGAAGTACACAGCAAGACCCTGTCTCAGAAAAAAAAAAAAAAGAAAGAAAGAAAAGCCAGGTTTAAAAGCCCGTCAGGGTGGGGTGCACCTATAATCTTAGCTGCTCAGGAGGCTGAGGCATGAGGATTGCAGGTTTGAGGCCAGTCTGAGCAATTTAGGAAGACTTTGCCTCAAAATAAAAAATAAAAAGAGCTGAGGATGTAGCTCAGTGGTAGAGTGCTTGCCTAGCATAAACAAAGCGCTAGGTTCAATCCCCAGCACAGCATAAATAAATAAATAAATTTAAAGATAGCTACGACCAATGTGAGGACAAAGGCACTCATGTCTACCATTGATATTCATATGTTTTTTGTAAGACTAGGAATTTGACAATATTCATCAAAATTTTAAATTATGTACTTGGACGAGAAATTCCATGTTTAGGAATTTATTCTATAGAGTTATCACCCAGGTAAACAGAGACAGATGTACAGGAGCATTTAAAGTAGGATTATTCCTAAAAATGAAAAGCTGGAAAAAATATAAATGCTTATTAGCAGAAGTCTGGTTGACTAAGGTTCATATTTGATGAAATAATATTGAGTTATTCAAAGGAAAAGGTATGTTTGAGATCTTTGATTCAATACCCAGCACAAAAAAAAAGAAAAGAAAAAGATAAAAGAAAAAAGAAAAGGTGTATCTATGTGCATTGAACTGGAAAAAAATACATATGAAACAAAGTGGGCCTAGTGCCACACATTTGTAATCCTGGCTACTGGGGAGGCTAAAGTAGGAGGATCACAAGTTCAAACCAATCCTGGGCAACTTAGTAAGACCCTGTCTCAAAATTAAAAAGTTTTAAAAAGATCTGTGTAGCTCAGTGTGAAGGACATAGGTTCAATCTCCAGTATCACCCCCCCCAAAAAAAGAAGAAGAAAAAGAAAAAGAAAAAGGAAGAACAGCAGAAAGAAAGAAAGAAAGAAAGAAAGAAAGAAAGAAAGAAAGAAAGATAGATTAAGTGAAAATGTGATATTAGCTTTGTATACTGTGGTCTTTTTTTTTTTTTTTTTTTTTTGGTACCAGAAATCGCACTCTGGTCCTTGCCCTTTCGAGGAAGGTGGCGGAACCACTGAGCTAAATCCCCATGTGGGACTGCATAACTCTGTAATCATAAAACTCCCCTAGCCCCAACTGTGATTGAATGTGAGTAAATAGATAAAGATGCTTGTTAGTTCCGGGACACTAGATAAGATCTGTATCAGCCATAAAGTCCCAAAGTAAGTTACTCAACTCTTTGTTTGAAACTGATGTTCCTGACACCGCTATCTATAGAACAATCTACAAACATCTGCTGACCATCGGTACAAGTCTGCTGACCACTAACCTTTGTTCCTCTTCTGTAAATTTCACCTGTTAACTTCCCTTGCAACCCCCTATAAAAAGAGCCTCGGACCCTGGGCTAGTCGCCTCTCTAAGTTACTTTGCTTTGGGAGTGCCCTCTGGCCAGACTATTTTACTTTCCAACTTGTCCGGTGTGTTCCTTCCCAGGTGCTCTTTGCTGCAGTCAGCTCCTTGGAGCCTTTGGTAAGGCCCTCGGTCTTATACCCAGCCCTGTGGTCTCATTTTTAAAGTGGTGTTTATATGCATTACTTGTGATTTGAGAGATAAAAATGTGGAAAAAACCCACATTACTGTTAAGTCATTTTTTTGGGAAGATGAAACACCAGAATATATGTTCTTTCTTTCTTTTTTTTTCGTGTTTTCTTTTTAACAGCCCATATTTTTATTGTCTGATTTGTTTGTTTGCAGCCGTGGTGGCTCATGCCTGTAAACTCAGGAGGCTGGGGCAGGAGGCCAGCCTGGACTCCATAGTGAGTTCAAGGCCAGCCTGAACTACATAGCAAGACCCTGTCTCAAAAAACAAACAAAAAAAAGAAAGAAAGAAAGATTAATCCTAGCCTCGACTACTCGAGCTAAAACTGTGATTTCTCTCTGCAGTTCTCATCTTTCTTTTTCTTTCCTTTTACCTTTTATGGAGGGTTTTTCTTGAGACAGGGTCTCAGTGCATAGCCCAGACTGGCCTCAGATTCAAAGTCCTCCTGCCTGAGAGCTGATTACAGGCATACGCCCATCACACCCAGCCCCCTTTTCTTTCTGTAAAATAATATAGCAGGCTGGGGATGTAGCTCCATGGTAGAGTGCTTGCTTAGTATGTGTGAAGCTCTGGGTTTAAGTCGTAGCACTGGGGACAATAGTAAAAGCCAGGTGCTGTGCTGGATGCCTTTAATTCTAGTACTCAGGAGGCTGAGGCAGGAGGCTCTTTTGAACTTAGGAGTTTAAAACCAGCCTGGGGAACATATTAAGACTTTCGACTCAAAGGACAATAATAATAATAATGTATTATGAGAAAAGCTTAAATTTTTTGTACCAGGACTCGAACTCAGGACCTTGTGCTTGCCAGGCAGGCGCAGTGACAGTGAGCTACATCCCAGTCCAAAGCTTGATTTTTTAAAAAAGGGAACTAAATCGTTATTCAGAACTTTATATTTTTTAAAAGTTGTTTTCAAGAATATGACTTGGCG